AACATTCTTGTGGCGGATCAATTAAATCATCGCATTCAACAATTTAACATTCAAACAGGGAACTCTGTGAAAAGCTTTGGAAAGAAAGGGACCAGGGATGGGGAGTTTCAGAACCCTGTCAGTGTTTGTGTAGATGATGTAGGGCGTGTTGTTGTAGCTGATGGCTTGAACAGTACAGTCCAGGTTTTATCACAGGATGGTGAACCTTTGTTTAAACTTAAAGACAGTGGACCAGAAAAACTTGACCGTCCTGTTGCATGTATTTACCATCAGAACAAGTACATTGTCTCTGACTGGGGTAATGATTGCTTGAAAGTTTATAACAAGTCAGGGAAGTGTTTGTACAAGATAGAGAATCAAGGCAAGGGTGATGGACAGTTGTGTGGTCCATGGGGACTGTGTGTCCAGAAATGTGGCAATTATTACAACCTTATTGTATGCAATGCTGGCAATGGTCGTGTTGATCAGTTTACACTGGAGGGGTGTTTCACTGGAAAAACTGTTCAAAAGTTACAGAGACCTGCAGCAATAACTGCAACATCAGATGGACATATTTTTGTTTCAGACTGTAAAGCCAATAAGATTCACATCCTGAAATAAGCAACAAATTGTAATAGAGATCTCAGTATGATACAATATAAAAATAAATGGCCGCTGAACACAATCGGTCAGTGGGACTTTCAATGACAATGTCGGACAAATGTTTCTTAGAGGGAGAAGTGTGACAACACAATTTCAGTGAAGCAATTGCAAAGCATAAGAGGACAAAGTTTACCAAAGTTAGAGGATAGTGAGTACACTATGAGTTATAAGGCGGAAAATAAGTGACATTTTGAAGACAATTTCATAAGGCTTGATACATAATGTAGTTGTGTAAGTTTGTTTCTGATATATAAGGTGAAAGAAACGCTCTTTCTACTATTTTTAGAGAGAGTGTCACTGACAATTTTGTTGCAGTTTGGAAATCCAAAAGACAATTCACTCGTCAAAAGCAAATGAAGCATAATTAAAAAAAAGAAAGAAATACACAACTTTTGCACTAATTAATTCACTTATGTTTTTGGTCAAAGCGCTTGGCCAAAATTGTTTCATAATTATGCAAACTTTTCTCAGTTTATATTGTAGACTAGTTAGGTCTTTTAAGAGTGTCTCCAAGAAAATCACATACACAAAATCACAAGGCTACGCAAAATCTGACTTAGAAAATTTTTCGTAAAAGTCAAGATCGTAATAGGCAGTTATACTTTTTCCGACTTCTGGCATCATGACCCACCTCCCCTCTTTTTGATTTCTATCGATATGGAAGAAAGTACTACTTTGGTACTTCAATTTGATTACTATTTTTTGTGCCTCATGTAATACACAATAAAAATGAATTTTACTTGCTTCACTGGTGATCTAAATATAATTTTTTTTTCATATCACTGGATCAGAAAGGAATATTTTTATTTTAGCTGTTTTGAAGAATGGAATAATCCTCCGGACGTGCTGCCCCTTTATCGTGTCTTAACCCATTCACATCACTCACATGCCTTGTACCGCTAGCCTGCGAGGAAACTCTCCATTCCAGTGGCGAGCGAAGCGAGCCGCGAGAGCGAACGCGCGAGCAAGCGGCGACGCCGCGAGGATCGCAGGAAAAGGACAGCTCCTCTTTCTTTCTCCACCCCTCACACTCGCGTCTCCTTTAGCGTGCGGCTCTCGCGTGACTTCTCGCGACTCCCCCAAAAGGAGAGCTTGCTCGCAGGCTATTGTACCGTTTGTAAAGTCATCAGATTAAACGGTCATTAATAACTTTTACACCTAACCTGTGCAAGGGAAAGAGATAATAAAAACGGCTCGAATGAACACGAATGCCAAAATACCCTTTTCAAATTTTTTAGAAAGGACCCAAACGCCCACTTGCTAAAATTTGAAGCTCCTGAATATTAACTTCTTGATTTATTACAATATCAATGTTCTTTTTACTTCTTTTACTTATACTTACTACCATATTCACCTAACTACCTTCTGGTTTTCAATTTTGTTCGCCAAATAATTGAATCAAATTAATAATACAGCTTACACACTGCTGGCTGAAATTTGAGAGAAAAGAACTGGAGTTCCCAATGCCCTGGCTTCCGGCTCATTGTATGATGGACTAGGTCCTCGATAACCGCAAAACATCCGCGGAGAAACTTCGGCTGGCGTCCACGTTCTATGCAAACGTTTAGAAGGATGGTTTGAATGGTAGGGTGTTGAATGCAAACTAATGGCCTGTAAACTTGGAAAAACTAGTTTTCAGATTCGAGATGGTTTATGACTAAAGAAGCATCAGGTTTGTTTCTATTTGAATCCGAAGAAGAGACTGGCTGTTCAACCGAGCAAAGTGGCGATGATGAAGAAGAGAGAAGCGAATGATTAGAACAAGAAAACGATGACACCGAGTTCATTTCCTGCCTACAGGGAGAGCAACCTGGGGATGAAAATAGGTCAGGCGTTCCGCTTAAGTGTTTTGAACACCAAGAACGGGAATTGCCTTTCAAGAATCTTGGAGAAGAATATAAATCTGGCGTGTCAGGACAAACTCCTTTCGCACGAGAAAGAGATTGTGAAAACAACTCAGGGGAAGTGTGCATCACCTCAAAACTATGATTTAACATGTCATCTGTCAAAGAATAACTGTTTCCTTGATCATGAGAAGCAGCTTCTAGGTCTCCGGCTTGGTGGATCTCCGTTTCATTCTTATTCTGATCATGTGACCATTTGTTTGGCTCTTCGTGCTTCAGGGACGTGATACAAACGACTTCCTCTTCAAGAAACTCTTTGGTAGATTCTAAGCCACACACAACCCTCCCTTGCTTTACTATTTCTTCCTGACAATGCCGGACTAGCTTATTGTTCTTCATAAAACGTGTTTGTAAATTAACAGAGGAATGCCTTTTTTGGTTACTTCTTGTTACAACTTTGTTAGGAATGGACTTTTCAGAGGGCTCTTTGAAAATATTTTCACAGTTTCTAAGCAAATTAGAATCAGATAAGATCAATGTCACGTACCGTTTTATTCACGATTGAATTGCTTTTGGCAAAAAAAAAATTGCCTTACCGAATCCTGTTGATAACAAAAGCCATCACTGTCAGTTAAGTTCAAATCGTTATCAGAGTGCTCAGTGTTGTTTCTTTTCACAAAGTCTTTAACATTGTGCTCGTTACTAGCAGCCAATGTTTTACACACCTCTACCTTTCGATGAAGGTCAAATGCATCAGCGGACCTCATAACATCGGCAGGCGCCAACGATGTTTTCTGCAGTATAGTTTCCCAATCGAGCTCCATATAGCCAAGAAAGCGTCTAGATCTTCAAAAGAAGGAAAATCAGTAAATTCTGAGTAATCCTCTTGAACAAATCCATAAACTACATCACTGAAACTAACAGTCTGTGACATAACTATCTCACCGGGTGTCTTCTCTTCTGACGTCACGCACGGATTAGGTCTGGTTGACATTTTGGAATTTATGATTGGCTGAGATTGTTCTTTCGTTTTATTTAGAGAATCCATTTTCAATCAGCTAGAAATGCACTTAGATCCTCTGACGAAGGGAAGTCATCGTACTCTGTCCATTCACAAGAGGCTTGCTCTTCTTTGCAGATATCAAGTTTCTCAGAATTCAGTCCAGTTGTTTGAGAAGTTAGCTGCGTAAAGCGAGGCGAGTTTGAGTTACATTGCTGCTGGTGTCTTCTTCCTGAGATAAAACTTGATCACTTTGATCTAAAATAGAAAAAAAAAAAACACGTTTGACCAAATTATGCTGCAACCAAACTAGATTAACATACTAACATTGGATTTTTATCGACACTCAAGTACTTATAACAAGGGTCGATTTTGCATGATTAGAAAGCAAACCTCTGTTAAAATCAAATTCAAAGTCGTAAGTCGCAAGGCTCTATTCTTCCGTCTTAATACTGGTATTATTTCTTGGGCGAGTCACAAAAAATTTCAGCACGGAAAAACAAAATCAGAGTACGTGCCTTTCTTCAACTTTCGTCGAATTGGTGAGAATCCCAACGAAATGGAGCAGCGGCCACTAGCAATATAAAAGACCGTGTAGAAGGCCTAAATGTAATAAACGGTCCTAAATGTAATAACATTTTGTCCTAAATGTAATAAAGTCCTAAATGTGATAACAATTTGCCCTAAACGTAATAAACTCTTAAGCTGCCAATTACAGTAATTACTCGAATAAGCCCCGCCCTCAAATAAGCGCCGCATTCAGGGGGGGGGGGGGGGGGGGG